GGCGCCGCCCCCGCCGGGCGGGAAACTGAGGCGCGGGGTGGGGCGGGAGGCGCCCAGCGCCGAGGACGGGGGAAAACGCGTTTTTTTGGGGTAAAAACGCCCCCGGGAGGCGCTTTTTGGGTACCAGGGAGCGGACGGGGGCCGGGAGGAGGGCGCGTTTATCACTGGTTTATTGTTTATTACTCCGTTAAGTTAATTAAGTTAATTACTGAGCGTTAAGCTCAGGGCGCTTTTAGTGGCGTCTCCCCTTAGCAAAGTGCCCCAAGTTGCCCAAAAATGCGCTTTATTGCCCCAAAGCGGGGCTGCTGCACGGCCCTGCGGTGCCCACGTTGTCCCGCGGCTTCTCCCGGGTTTTGGGCTGGTGCTGGAGGGGAAAACACCCCGGAGCAGCCAGCGGCACCGGGCCCCCATCCCTCCCGGAGCGTCGGAACCGGGAGAGGACGGGGCTGGACGTTGGTGGCGTCTGCGGTACCTCTTTTCCAGACCAAACTTTGAGGATTTCGAGGTCTTTGTCCCATCGGGCAAGGCCAGCCTGAAATGTGGCCCGCGAACATGGAGTTTCCTTCAGGGAGCAAAAACCCCTTTTATTTTTCCTTTTCTTTACTGACTTCGGGTTGAATTCCCAAGTGCTGCCGCTGTGCTCGGGACCGTCATGGTTTCCAGAGCAGCAGCGCGGGGCGCTCTGACCCTGAAGGAGGAAACCTTCGCTTTGTCTTTTTATACAAAAATCAGGATTTATATATATATGTATATACACACACACAGAATAAGCTTTTTTGGATGTGTTTTTCCCTCTTTTTTTTTTTCCCCAAGAGCTTACCAGCAGAAAAATGTGAAACCATTTCCCTGCAGATGTGGAAAAGCTTGTGCTTGTGGGTCTTATATATATATATTTTTAGACGAGATCCAGAATGTCTTTTTCTTTTTTAAAAAAGGCTTTACTCCCTCAAGAAAAAAAAAGAGATTTACAAACAAAATAACAGCCTCTGTCAACTCTCCAGAAGAGAGATGGTATGACAATATTAATCCAAACATCACGCTATTTAATTCCCCAATAAAACATTGGAAAAAAAAAAAAGAGCCAACAGTATCTGCACTAACACTTTGCTACATATAAAATCTCCAGCTAATATGAAGCTTATGGTACCAACCTCTAAAACAGTTAGGATATATACACATATTTTCGGGGGGTATATTAACAAACAGAATATTACAAAATATTAAAGAAGGCAACTCTTCTGACATTTGTTTCTTGGGTTTTCACTTGAAGTTGGCGTAGTCCGAGAAGGCGTCGATATATTCCTGCACCACCTTGTAGCAGAATTCGTACTGTTCCTGCGGGGTTGGAGGGGCACAGCGTTACGTGGAGCGAAAGCGGATGGTTCCCCCTTCCCGCAAAGCTGATTTTATAAAAATAACTTCGTTTTGGTGGCTTAAAAAGAGGCTTACCAGTGTCTGCACCATATGCGGCCTCTGCAACCTCAAGCTCTTCACCGTCTGAAAGACGTCAAGGATCCCTTCTGCCTTCACCCTCTCCAGGACGGTGCTCAGCGCGCAGAACGTGCCCGTCCTTCCCGCCCCAGCACTGGCAAAGGGAAAGCAGAAGGTGAAGGGAAGGGCCCAAACCACCGGGATGGCTGTGCTGGAGACACCAGCCAAGGCGCAAACGCTGAAGGACTGCGAGAGGCAACCGTCCTCCTCCAGCCGCTCGGGCTGTCACTTACGTGTGCTTGGACTTCTCCCCTAAGGTTCAGATATGGTGGTAGGAGGAGGAAAACCTCTTACTGCTTCCACCTACACTCTTGTCGCTCAGCTTGAGCCTTTCAAGGGATATTTTACTGTTTTCGAGGGATGTTTTACCGTTTTCAAGGGATGTTTTACTGTTTTCAAGGGATGTTTTGCTGTTTTCAAGGGATGTTTACTGTTTCGAGGGATGTTTACTGTTTCGAGGGATATTTTACTGTTTTCGAGGGATATTTTGCTGTTGTGAGGGATGTTTTCCTGTTTCCGAGGGACGTTTTGCTGCCACCCAGGCTCCCTGCGGCGCCTGTGCCCCGCTGTGCCCACTGTTACCTGCAGTGCACCGTGATGGGGTGGTTGCCAGACTGCTGCTGCTGCTTCTGCACGGCCGCGATGATGTTGATCATCCCTTTCCCATCACTGGGGATCCCAACTTCTGGCCAGCCGTGGAAGTGAAACTGCCGGATCTGCCGGCTCTTGTTTTCCTGGTGGAAGAACACGACAGCCCTCAGCAGCTAATTCATGCCTTGTGCAGCCTACATCATGATGGGGATGAGAACGGATACGTGGATGAAGGATGCACATCTAGGGTTTCCTTGAGGGAAGGTCCGGGAGTAACAGGAGTCTCAAAGCACCACTAGCATCAGCAGGGATTAACGACAGCAAAACCCGAGAGAGCCCTGAGCATCCCCAAGGGAGCAGGACAAACTCTTACCCTGGTGTTGGTGACCAGCAGGTCCCGCACCCTGTAGCTCTCGCACTCCTCCTCCTTCTTCAGCTCCACGGTGATGTCTCCGTAGGACACGGCGCCATCGGAAGGCCAGTACTGGGCACACTTCTCCTGAGAAAGCAGACAGGAGGGGACAGGGTGAAGAGCCTCTCATCGTCCTGCTGCCTTTACAGGAGGGATCTTCTCCTGGGGAAGCCACAGGGAATTACGCAGCCTCGAAGAGGAGCTCGAGGCCCCGTCTTGCTGCAGGAGACGCCTATGGCATCTCCTGTCAGGTGCCACTACCTAGTTCCAGAGCCGCTTTAAGAACTGAGGGTCCAGAGTTGTTTTTTTAATATTTTTTAACTCCTCTCCTCTGGATTTACAAACATCTGGGCTCTCTGTATTAGAATTAGAGGTTGAGAGTCCCTCCCCACGTGTATTTGCCAGGGAAAGGCTGGAAGAGCAGCACGGCGTGTGCGGCCCCGGCAGCAGCGCTGGGGCCATCTGGACATTTGCAGGGTTTGCAGCCATCTGCGGCGGTGCCGAAAGGCCTCGCGGGCTGCAGAGACACCGACCTGGCCTCTCTCCTCCAGCTCCGTTAACATCACGATGGAGCAGGATTTCCACTCCCAGATCATCCTCCAGAAGTCCTCTATCGTGTGCTGCAGAGGGCCCTGGCTGGCGATGTAGGAGTCCTTCTGGCGATAGCCCTGCAATTGCAAATGGCCGTTACCAATGCGCACGGCGCAGCAAAGGGCAACCAAACCCCGGGCAGACCGGGGACGCGGCCACACACTCTCGGCCACGGCCACATCAGCGGAGCCGAGTTCGTCCCTGGAGCACAAACCCGCTCAGCCCGGGCACGGACACCCGCCCCGATGCCGTAAGGCAGCATTTTATGAATTTATTTTATATTTAAGAGCTTTACTTCTAAGGAAATGCAGCTCAAATGGGATCGCGTTGCCCCTGTGGCAGGGAAATAGCTGGGCTTCCAGTGCTCCTACTCCTAAGGGAAGTTGGAAGGTTGATTTCTGAAGTGCCAAAGCTCTGGAAACTACAGTTGCAACTTTAATTGGAAGATGTGAGCAAAAACATGCCCTGTAGTAAGAGAGGGTGACTCTGCTCTTCCACCACCCAGAGACGTTCCTGTTTCAAGCAATGAAACCCTCCAATATTCCCCTGTGCCCCCACAGCAAACGGCAGCTAAAGACACTTCGTCATTTGGAGCTTGTCACTTAAGCAAAGTTCAGCAGAGGCAGGAAATTGAATCTTCAACAGAATTGCTTACGTGACATTTAAGCTTTTGGAGCTAGATTTGGAATAACAAGGCTGCCAGGCTGGAGGGCTGCTCAGATTTGTGGTTTGTCCAAGGCTAAGGCAGCCAACGCGCCCACACGCCATCCCGAGGGGGCCCAGCGGACACGTTTTCAGGGAGCAGCTAATTTGGGATGCTGTGGCTGGGAATACATTGGTTTCACTGGTTCATCCTATGGCAGCACTGGCCCTTTGGGAAAAATACCTGTCATTAGGAGGTGAAAACTTTACTGATGATATTGGGCTAGAGAAGAGCAGGGTTCGTTGTGACTTCCCCAGCGCTGGCCTCGCCGCACAAAGGTAAATACTGCTCCGAGATGTCCCCTGGAGTCAACAGGATTACTCACGAGCAGAGGATGTGCCACGCAGCGCGAGCCAGCAAAGCACTTAACCTGGCTGCCTCATTTCCTCCAGGCAGCAACACAGGTGTAATAGGATTGACCTGGTTTTTCTCCAGGGTTTTGGGATCCGTGTATGGCTCTGTTACTTAATCTAGGGGATGTTTTCTGACCAAACGAACGGCGCTATTAAAGCAATCAGTACTCTGGCTACACGTGTCCTTTTTCTCCAAACCCGTCATTCAAACTCAGGAGCTGCAGCAGTGAGACCAGAGGGCCCTGCTCCAGGCTCCAACTCTCCTCGCCCAGCTCTCTGTGGCTCAGAAGACTGGAGGCTCTTGCTGAAGCTCCTGTCTGCAGGGTTTGCTTGGGACAAGCTGCCACTAGCCATTGGCACGAGCAAGGTGGACGGAGGCTGCTGAAACCCGGGGA